TTTAACCCTCCCACAAGGAGTCACCCCCACCCCTGATATTTAGTGGCATTTCCAATGTCTTCTCTGTCCCTTCCCCATCACTGCCATCACCACAGTAACCAGCCAATGGTACTGACCATGTCTGCCGAGGTTCCCCATAAGTAGGCTGCTCAGGGGAACTCTACAACAGAACACAGTTTGGCATTGGTTCTGGAATCACGGACCTGGTTTTCTCAGCCCCACATTTATTAGCTCTTTTGCTGCAAATGATTTGGCCTCTTGAGGCCTCAGCTTCTATAACTGGGGACAGTCATAGACCTCAACCTGTCCAGGGCTGCTGTGAGAACTCAATGGGATAACATATGTAAGTGGTTTCATCCTTAACACATGTTTTATAGGCTTATTTCATGATGGGGGGAGAACTCAGAAATCTCAGTGCTGCAGCAAGAGTTGGGGAAATGGAGACTTTTTGTTCTGGCGAATAAGTAACATTTAGAAAAACTGCTACTTTTTGATTTTGATGACTGTCACTTGGACAGATAAAGTTGGCTTTATGGGCATGAGGTGACATGATGCACTCACAAAAATTAAAGGGAAGTGTTTTTTCTCTAAATCAAAAGGACTCAAATAATAAACGGCATCTATTTCCATCCCCAGAGTCTATATAAAAACTTGGAGCAGTGAAATGTGCTCATAATCCCAGCCTGGAGACCAGACAAGTGGATCCCTGGGATGTTCATAGTCTACCTTGTGAGGTCCAAGCCAGTAAAAGACCTGTTTCAAAAATGAATGAATGAATGAATGGGTGGGTGGATGGATGAATGAATGAATAAGTGGTAGTTGGCACCAGAGGAATGACACCCAAGGTAAGCCCCTGGCTGTCACATTCATGCACACAGACATGGGCACACACCTACACACGTTTGTACCTGAACACATGTGAATGTGTACACACACACACACACACACACACACAAGCATGTAGAACACAGAGCCTCACACAGTGGTGGGCTCCCATCACTGGACATAGCCCAACACAGGTGGCTGGACCTAGGGCAAGACAGTGATGGAATCAGATTGGGCAGAACTGAGAGCCTAGCAAGAGCCTTTCCAGTCCAATTACATCCTGTGATCGGGAGGGTTAGGAGACATGGCCCATTAAAGATGGGACAGGAAATGGTATCTTTGTCAACTGGCTTCAAGGATGATCCTGGACCCCACACTCAGAGACCACCCCAAATCCATTGACCTTGGAAATAAAATCTGGCAGCTGTACCTTTAATCCAGTGATCCCAAGATTTGCCTCTAGTGTCACAAAGATCCCTTTGGAACTGTAATCCATCAAACACTTGGGTGCCTGTCTGCACAGCCTAACTCCTACTGCAGCTGCTGTCTCATTTATGGGGCATGCTTAATGTGCATAGCCTCATTAATTTGAAATGTATCTCCACTGGGTTTATCTTTTCACCAACAAGGAGAGTCAGGTAAGCATATTTATTGTCTAAGATTGCAAAGCAATGTTAAGCTTCTTATTTAGAATACTCATAAGCGCTTTAGAAAAAATTACCAGGTCAGTTACAAATTCATCCTACCTCTTCAGGAAGGCGAGTGACTAATGGACCACCTCCTGGCAACTATTGGTAGAGCCTAGTTTGCTATTTGAATTGCAATACAACTTCCTACTTAACTGTGTTTCCTCAGAGCATTTCACGCCCAGGAACTCAGACATGAAGGGAAGGTCGGTGTGTACACCTGTTCTTGATGTGGTGGCTTGGGACAGAAAATAACTTCTTTGTTACTGTCACCCAGGGTACATGAACACAAATTTGTACTTGTCAGGCAGGTCCCCTGGATGTGTGTGTGTGTGTGTGTGTGTGTGAGTGTGATGAGCTGAGAGTCCTTATAGCATCTCCTTCTTGAGCCACTTATGTTTACAAAGGTCTGACTTTATTAATAGATAGCCTCTGTGGGATTCCCTTCTCAGATGCTGAATTAGGAAATGTCTAGGAGAGTTGTGGTAGGAGGTGTGCCTTAGGAACTCCAGGTATGCTAACAAGGTCTAAGCTGCATGCAAAGATGGGAAGCGCACAGCCCTTTGTAAGGAAAAGGAACGATGCACCAATAGGATGTGTGGCAAGATCCCCAGAGACGCATACTTATCTACAGGCCCCAAGTATGATGTCCAGAGCTTTGGGAGGTCACTGGGTGAACGTGGGTCGTGGGAAGTCCACACTAGAGGGAAAGATGAGCTATGTCCGTTTAGAGGAAGGGCTGTGAAGGCTGGCAGAGGTGCTGAGGAGGCATAATGATACGGGCTCATTGAAAGAAAGTAATGGAAGGAAACCCGAGAGGTTCATAGGACTGAAAGGTAGTGTGGAAAAGGGCAGAATGAGGGGGGCGATGCCACGAGGGGAAGATGCTGACTCAGGCTCACAAAGGCAAGATGGGAAATGTCTGAAATGAAAGGATACAGGTCCAGAAGGGCACAGGTCCAGGGAGAGTAATGCAGAGAGGAGGCCAGGGCTGTAGGTGATCTCCATAGAGGCAGCCAGTGTTGAGGAGTCTAGGAGTTAAACTTTGTGCAGAGGATACACAACCTCTTCCTCATCTCTGTCTTCTCTGGCCACAGGCAGAAGAAATGGACTATTGTACAAAGTGAACGTTTAGGTAAAGTTTTCTAAACAAGTAGACAAAGTACAAGGACAGCTATGAAACTCGATGGCAAATTATGTTCTTGGAGACTGAGGTGATTAGGATGGGCTGATTCAGTGGCCTATGTGAGTTCAGTACTCCCAGGCTTCCAGGCTTCCTAGAACTCAGGTTCTACACCTCCCCGGTGGCCATTTGCTGAGGTCCTGGATCAAGAGCTCAGCTGCCACCCTGGCTCCTGCTTTCCTCAGCAGTACTGCCATCTGAATTGTCACCTCCCCCAAGGCCATCAGGGTCACCTCTTGCTAATCTGGCAATTGGCCTCCTATAATTAAATGGTGAAGGAATTACATCCTTATCTATGGAGCACAGGCTTTTCAAATAGTTACGTGGTAGAAAATTCTAGGCAAAGCAAGCTTCAAATAAAAAGTAAAAAGGGAGAGAAACTGTAGCTACAAATTTACAGTGGTTTCTCCCTATAAGGTGTAGTGGGGACAGGAAATTCATTAACACAACTCTGGTACCTATCATTGACAAGTGTCTCTGTATCTGGTCCATTTCTTTTAATACTGATGTTTCTAACAAAGTCCCAGATCACCTGGGAACTTGCTGGACATTTTAGTATTATGTATCTACACCATACCCACCAAACCATAGCTCCTGGGAAGCTGCCAAGTAATTTTATCCAAGTGCCCAGGTGATAAGGAAGCAAGCTGGAGGAGAGGTACCAGTGTACTCAGATCCATAAAACATTAAAGCCCCGAACCCTGGGAGCAGAGCATTCTGATCCTACCCTTGCACTAGGCTATTGACATGTTAGGGTTCGCTCCTGGCAAACAATGATCTGGCAGTGACCAGCTCTACACACATGGTCCTTGCAATAAGGCTGTCACCATTTTACAAACAGCGGCAGTTAGGTAACTTACCAGAGGGCTGCCCATGCTATCTTAACATGATTTGAGCCTCATATCTAAGTCAAATGCCCTTCTCATCAAAGAATAATGATTCCCATTGGACGGGTCATTAGGAGAGGAATGAATTTATGACCTAGTATCCCAACATCGCCATGGCATTGTTTTCTAATTGCACAGCTTCTGGCTAACAGTACCCAAGTCTTTACAGGCTGTGTTTCTAACCAGATGTGCTACCTTGAGCCCAAATCTCCATCTCTTCACCCATGAGAAGCAGAGCCTTGTAGATGCAGGAACCTTCCTTCTACTGAGGCCAGAATCTCCTACATTTAGCAGGAAGCAAAGTGCTTGCTATATGGGCCTATTTCTTTTGTCTTTGGACTATTTATTTTTTGAGTAGTGTCCCACTACTGAGCTCTCACTGTTCCTAAACCTTTGATACTCCTGCCTGAGCCTCTAGGGTGCTGAGTATGCCACCAACCACATGTCCTTGACTGCGGTCTCCGTCCTCATCTATGGAGAAATTCCATGCACTTATCACCTGCAACAGGTTTAGAGCCCAATTACCTTATCTAGGTTTCTCCTACCCCAAGGCACAAAGCCCCAAGGCACAAAGCCAACCTGTTTTTACCCTGTTGATTGAGACAGGGTCTCCTATGTCCCAGGCTGATCTTGAACTTCTGGTCCTCCTGTATGTACCTTGAGTGTGCTAGCCACTGCACTGGGCAGGGCTGGAGAGTAAACGCAGGGCTTTTGTGCATGTTAGGCAGACACTGTACCAGCTGAGCCACATCTCCTAGCTTCCAGGCAGCCACAAGCTATGCTTGAACAGATCTTTTGGCTTGACAGAGTGTCTTGTGGTATCCACTCTTATCCTAGATTTGCAATTCCAGAATTTGAAGAAATTGTTGAATCAACTAGAAGAAACCGTGTTGGCTCTCAAATTAGCCGCCTCACTGGAGAGGGATGATGATGTGGCAGATTAAAAACAGCATTTTTCTGTGTTTTTGTTTGAGTTTAGGATGCACTCATTTTCTCCAGTGGGTTGACTTCTCTAATTATGTTTTGCAGAGCCTAATATTAGCAGGCATTCATATTCCCTGAGTACACAGGGAGAGTTAAAGGATGGAGTCAGCTTTTTTTTTTTTTTTTTTAAATTAAAATAAAATGTGCTGGTCACAGGGAATGACAACATTGTGATGGAAAACACACATGTCGATAAAGAACAGGCAACCGGTTACACAACACTCTGGAAACAGTCAATCTGAGAGGGAAGGGTGGGAATTCTCTACAGACCTGTGAACAGGGAGCCAAGCAGCCTGTTAAACTTCTGAGAGGACAGACTTTCCAGCATCCTCTTTTGAGTTACTGGAGCTTGATGAGAAAAATCAGGACCCAAGGACCAGCAGATTCCTGGGTGGTCCCTCAAGTAAGAAAACCCTGAGCAATAACACCAACCCATTTTAAAAGAGCATTTAAAATGAATTTTATTGTTTGAATTTTACAAGTAGTCTTTAGAGGCTTCAAACAAGAACTCTGCTGCAAAACTCTAATAAATAGCTTGCCCCAAGTCCCCAAAGAAAAGGGAAAAGCAAATTAAAAGATAAGCAAGACTTCAGGATGCTCATGTGTTAGCAGTTATTTCTCATTTACAGATAGACATCAGGCAATGTACAATCTCCTTCACATAAGTTAAAGAGTTGACTGTAACCCTTACAAAGCACTCCCAAATCCTATTTCCACAGTAGAAATGCTAACAGGAAAAAGAAAACCCACGGAGAAATCACAAATATTTGTGAATCTATGGCAAACAGGTCTGGCATGTGTGTGGGAGGCAGGAGCCATCCTCTTTTTTCTCAGGGATGGGATCCAGGGCAAGATGGGTCCACTTAACAGCAGGGAACTTCTAGCGCATAGCCAGTGGACACTAGCCATCCCTGCATCTCTGAGCTCCTCAGCAGTGAGACACGGAGGGGCCCAGAGCTGCCTGCATCAGTAGATGGGAGGAACAGCGCAGGAGTGGTTTCTGCAGCAGAGTCCTTTGGGTGGCCAGGAAAGGATGCAGGAAACGCTGTGGGTAAACTCCACACTGCGGCATGCAGTTCCAAGAGCCCATTCCGTTACAGGCATTGCCCCAAATGAACGAGGATTAGACTTGCGGTTTAACATTCACTATTAGCTTTCCTAGTTAGAAACAATGGTGAAGTCTTGCTTAGACAGAAGAATTTATCAATTAATTTAGTCCATTTGAACAAGCTTAAAAAAAGTTGTGCTACATCTTTAAAAATCCAAAACAGAAACTATACATATATATATATATAGACTTTTGACCAAAATAGATTTAAAATGCATACAGGTAAAGTTTTCATTTGGGAAAATTCAGGAGCCAATTAACATTAGGGGCCCAGAAAGTGTAACAGGTTGATCCTAATTGAGTGGGGTTCACTTACACCAGACAAAGAGTCCTAGCTCTGAGGAACATACTAGGAACCATTTTCTGGGGAAAGAAGGGACAAGATTTAGGGTCAGATGGTGCTGACCCTGCAGACCTCTAGTAGATAGGCGCAGAGGGTAGAAGCCTCACACAGACCACACAGGGAGGCGAGTCTTTCCTTAACATTCCCCTCTTCAGGCATTTTAGGAAGGGAGGCAAGGAAACCCCCTCCCCACCCCCAAACAGACAACTCAAAAGAAAAACCTTTATTTCCCTGGGAACGAAGGCGTTTGCAAGAATAACAGGGAGAGCTTGGGTTACCTGAAATCGATGAGAAAGCCCGTGGAAGCAGAGGCTGAGGGGCAGGGGGCACTCGGGTCCTGGGCCCAGTTTCTTTGTAAATACATAACAGATAAAGATATTGTGCAAAAAATAAAGACATTCACATTTTAGCAGTTAAACTTTTATTTTACTTTTTTAAAATTTTTATTTCATTTTTTTGTTGTTGTTTTTCTTTTCTACAAAAGGCAGATGATGACTGTTGGTCTTCAGTTGTGTTGTGCACTGTCCGGCAGGAGCAGAGTGGGAGCTAGGGATGCCGAGAATACTTTCCAAGGCATGGATGGATGCTCCACCCACAGAGAGCAGCCTACCTCTCCTCTCCCTCAGCTGCCCTTAGCTCATGTCTATGGTATTGAAGACCCACTCTGTGAACTTCTTTAGCTTGTCCGAGGCATTCTGGGATTCCTCCTGCAGCCGCAGGTTGTCCTCACGCAAGTGCTGCACCTCTGCCTGGAGATGGGCCTTGTCTTCTTTTTCCTGGAGGAAAAGCCAAGTAGATGTAACCCAGGGGTGGCCAGCCACCACACCCAGCTCTCAGGACAAGCACCTCCGACTCCCTGTAGGTGGTCCCCTTCCCATTCCGCAGCCTACTAAATGCCAGTGCACAGGGCTGGTCCAAGCCCAGGGGCTCCCGAAAGCTCAGCATTACAGACTCAGCTGGCTGTGCAATTACATTAATGTGTATTTCACAGCCAGCTGTGTTTTGAGTTTTAGGCCACTGCTGCCTTGATAAAGTCAAAGCCAAAGAAACACACCATTCAGTTCTGGTCTGAAAACCCAAACACTAAGGGCTACATGAGAACCCACGCTCCTGACGCCTGACATGAGGGCTGGGGGTCAGGACAAGGCCCAGAGAGGCCTGGCTGAAGCTCAAGGCTTTCCCCCAAAGGGACCAGGCTTTCTGTACATAGGACAATGAAGGCCCCTCACACCATGTGTGTCAATGGCACCAAGGCCTATGCTGCCCCAAACACACGTACAGAGAAACTGAAGGGAAACATCTATGTGTGTCTCATGGGCCTCCCTAGCTCTCTCAATTAAGGGCATTTTGTTCCCACAGCCTGGGCCATCTGTTCTGAGAACAATTACCTTCTTCAAATCTTCTCGAAGCATCTTCAGCATCCCTTCCAACTGGTCCACTTTAGAAGCCAGAGTGGGAGAGGACTCCTTACTGCTAGGAGGGAGAGACAAAAGGCCACGCTGGCAGGCGCCTCCACGGCTGCTGGGGTTTTTATCCCCCCTCTTCGTAAAATGATTTTCAATGTCAAATCACTCAGCATGGCAACCCAATGTGCATTTTTTTTTTACTTTAAAAAGGGATAATGGTGACCTTAACAGCAGGTGATACAGGTTTGAATGGCAGGCAGCCAATAGCTTCCTTTGTTAAAGACATTGTATCTTCTGACAAAAGAGAGTTAGTCTCTTTGGTAGCACAGGAGGTACACTTGCAGATCCAAAAGTCACATAGTACAGTTATTCTCAAGATGTCTTCTAGAGGTTTCAAAGGACAGCTACATCTCTCTCTCTCTCTCTCTCTCTCTCTCTCTGTCTTTCTCTCTCTCTCTCTCTCTCTCTCTCTCTCTCTCTCTCTCTCTCTCTGTGTGTGTGTGTGTGGTTATACATGTATATAGCTAATGCAGGATATGCATTGGGGCTACCAACACAGAGCATGTCTAGAGTTCCCAGGGGTCTCTGCCCCAAGCAGGTCATTGTAGCTACATACAGTGCTCACATCTTAGCTCATCTAAATACCTTTAAATACTGAAAACAAGAGGCGACATGTTTCAAAAGCCTGTCAGTCCCAAGTTACCATCTCAAATTCTGCTTTCTTACAGTCAAAAGGCAGCTTTGTTAAGTTAAAGTGCTAATCACGACTTGCCAGAGGAGCACCATGTATGTCTGGGTGCCCTTAAGGACCACACTGGTGGGTGTTGTCACCCCAAAACCCAAGGCTGAGGACCAGTCAGTGCCTCCCTCACTCCATGTGAATATGAGCTGCCAACGGTTTCCTGGGCGAAGTTCTGGTCGTGTCGTGTGCCCTTAAGAACTACACAACAGAAAGCTGGGCGTTCTGTGTGGAAAATGCATAGGACTCTTTGTAGAGCCAGAGATGTAACTCTTGGTTGTGTCTAAGTCATGGAGTAAAAAGAAATCTTCAAATACCATCCAAAGTCAAAGTTCCAGCTGGAATTCCTGTGTTTCTGTTCTCTTTAATTTTATGTCTGGAACAGGCTCCAAAGTAAAGCCCCCAGTCCACTGTCCACAAGGTGAGTGATACTGATCTCCAGCCTCCTCAGACAAAACCAAAAGTGAACAGCGAATGAATTGTAAAAGGGATGCGGCTGGATGCAACCCACAATGCGGTAGCACAGGCTGGTGAGTTCTGGGCTGAAGGGCAAACATGCAGGACAGAAAGGAAGTCGTGCACGGGGAACAGCTGTCCCTCCAAAGCATTGCAGGGAGCCGGCACCCAACTCCGTCCCGCAGGTTCTTCAGGAGGAACTGCGGGGACACTAACAACACATCAGGGTTTATGAACTCCGCCTGCATCTGCCCACCTGTGCCCATCTTACCCTCGTCCTATGATCCCGAGCAATGGTCCCTCCCAGAAAGTCAACTATCGCTTCTCTGTGCAGAGCTCATCCCAATGCAGCCCCCTTCAGCGGGGTCTTCTTTCTTCTCCCCAACATTTTGAGTAGTCTGGCACTGTGCTTACCCTGACTGTCCCAATGATCAAAGGGACTGTGACTCTCTGTTTTCCTCATCATTCACAAGAAACTAAGCACACATCCCTGGGGCTTTGTTCAGAAGCTCTCAAGCAGGAGCCCCGCTTACAGCAGCGTGGCTACACCAGCTTCACTTCCCTGTTGTTATCTGCCTCTCACCCATCTCACAGGCGTCTGAATATATACGCAGGTGTGACACACATTGGTTTTATTGAGACAGAATCTCCAAATGCAGCCTGGCTGGTCTGACCTTGCTGCCTGCGCCTCCGGAGTGCGGAATTACAGGCATGCATCACCACACCTGGTCCCTTGGCTCCCAACCATCCCCAGGAGGATTTAGGGCAAGAGTTTCCAGCTGATGACACTATTCTGCGTGCTCCACAGCTGGCTGCTGGGATGCTGACTAAGGAAGACTTCATCTCAGCCCCCACCTCAACCACTGGAAACCAAGGGGAACAGGAAATGCTGCTCCCACACAGTCCTAGTCTCAAAGTTCACGATGGGAATTCAGGCGCTCTCTCAGCTTCAGTTACTACCACCTGGCCCACCTTACAAATGCTCTAGGCCAGCCTGCACTCCTGTTTTAAACACAGGAGAGTAGAGGCGGAATGCTGGAAGCTGAGCAGACATGAGTACAGGTGGCCAGAACAGCAACTGAGGAACTCAGAAACCAGACTGGAAGACTAACTCCCCAGAGCCCAGGGGCACTTGTGACCAACCATTTCTCTTACCTAATAAGCTCCAGGGGCACAGGTGAATTGTGACACTGAATAATAAAGAATATTCATAATCTTCTCCTTAAGCATCAAAACCAGTTTAATTGTGTGTACAGTGGTCAGTTATAAAGAGATCTAACTAAAAAGCCACGTATCTGGCATTGCAGCCGAGCTTCCCTCAGCTCATCCATGGGCTTTCCATCTCCTCTTGGTCACATCTGCCACTACCGGGGGGCGACACATGGTGCACGGTGGCGCCCTCAGCACTGGGTGACCAACCTGCTGTAGGACTTCATCTGGACCAGGGCCTGCTCCTCCAGCTGCTCGCTGTTGGAGGCCGCACTCAAGGGGCGATGGTTTTCATCACTAGCAGCAAAAAACGAGGCTCTCTGGACTGGAAGAGAAGTGAGAGAGCATCTAGTAAAGGGGCATATCCCTGGGGCCCTCCCTGCAAAGCCCACTGGCAGTCCACACGACGGTCAAGTTTAACCAACACACAGGTAAGTTTGAATGGTACCTAACTCCGGGGGGAGACTGACAGTATGAGTGCCTTTGAAGAGACAGCTGCTGAGAGCCCATCTCCAAGCCCCTGCCCTGCCCTGCTCTGCCCGCCAAAGCAGTGTCAGCTTCTCCAGAAAGAGGCCTTGTGCCAAGTTCTAGACCAATGCTTTTATAAAGCTATAAATGTCTTGGAAGGTTAAGGTGAATCTTCTCGATAGCTTCTTGAAGGATGCTTTCCACAAGGCCAACTCGGGTGGGCTTTAGCACTGTGTCCAAACCAACTGCCTAGATATATCCCAACTTTAAACCCATGTGGAGACTAGTCAGCAATCAGACAAATCAAGTTAGAGTTGGGAAGGTTCCAAGAGCTAAAGTAGCAGGAAGGCAGTGATGGTCATGGTTGCTCTATTTCTGAATTCTGCGGCCTAATATCTCCACTGTCTAAACTGAAACCTGACAGAATAGTTAGTTTCCAATCTCCTAAGTGAGAGCAATAAACAAAATTTGCTCTGCTACTACAACTTTATAAAGACCATTTTAGCATCAAAAAGTTTTGGAAGCATGACCTTACTGAAGAAAGGACAGAAGACAGCTTCTATCAATACACAATACCATGTGTTTAGTTTCATTTTCACAGACCAGAACATCCTAGGGGCCACTATATGAGCTATAGAAGTCACATGAATTTCTGTACAGCTGGAACATCAGTTCCATCTGAGTATAAGATGCTCCCAGCCCAGCATCTGGCCCACCAGATCTCAGCATTAGGCTCTGGGCTCTGGCTATGTAGATAAAGCACACTTGTCAGTGTGCCCAGGCTGGCACATTGGTCAGATCTGATTACAATCCTGGCACCCCGTGGCTTGGTCTTCAGGACTCTGGTGACCTATGTGGGTTGTTACAGCAACCTCACTCACCCTCATAGGCTTTGGCAGCATCTACTAGGTTGGACCAGTCCAAGTCCGCGGCAGTGTCAGGCAGGGGCATTAGGCCGGGGTCAGGGATGGGCTGCCTTCGGGTCTCCTGGATGTCAGTGAGGGAGCTGTCCGAGGCAGAGAATTCTCCTACAGAGGGAACAACAAGGTAACACTTGTGCCCACAGCAGAAGCACTCAATTCAACCCATTTACGGTTAACACAATAGATGTGCAAGCCGTTTGTTGATGGAATCAATGTCTATCTAGTCTAGAAGGCCATTAGTGAAGCAGATCTGGCTTCCTCCAGTCTCTTTCCGTTTTAAAAATACCTCCCACCATCTCTCTCCCAAGAATGTGGGTTATGAGAGACTTAGTTCTGCACTGAGGCCGTGCACAGGTCTGCTGGGCGGAACTGCTATCCCCAGTGGGGCAAGGGGCTAGTTCCAGCACCCAGCTTCCCTTCACGGTGTCTAAGAATTCATCTGGGAGAAGAGGCCAACTCTACTGGGGAACTGGACACAGCCCAGAATGCTAATGCCTACTGGAGGAACAATAGGGCCCTCTTTTATCTAGACCACAAGCTGAGATCTGACCCCGAGTCTGTGGGCTCTGTGCTCAGGAATGGTAAAGGGAAGGTGCAGTCCTGTGTTTTGCATCCCAGGAATGGCCTACTGGTTCCATGGCTGAATGTAGTTAGGTAGTATGAGAAGCAGAGCAGATCACACTCAAAGTGCTAAGTCTCTCATAGGAGCCAGCCTGGGAAGGGACATTCAGGAGGCCATCCTGGGGACCCTGGGAGTCACCTGAACAACATCCTGACCAGCAATATTACAGCTGATGGGAGATGTCATTCTGTAAATATGTTTCTCGTATTGGTTAATAAATAAAGCACTGTTGGCCAATAGGAAAGAAAGATAGGCGGGACTAGGAGACAAGGAGGACAGAGGAAAAAGTAGGGAGGAGTTTTTAAGATATAGGACCAACAGGGTAGAACTCTGGGCCCTCTCCCCAGTAAGATAAGACCACGTGGAAATACTTAGATTGATAGAAATGGGTTAATATTTAAGACAGAGCTAGCCAATAAGAAATGCTAGTAACAGGCCAACAGCTTTATATCTAATACAGCATCTCTGTACATTATTTGGGGCTGGCACGGCTGTGGGACCAGGCTGGTGGGAAACATGCTCATAACATACAGCAATCAAACATCCACCCTTTTCTAATGTGAAAGGTTATTCACTGCAAACATTAAAGCCTTGTAATGGCTGACAATAATAAAAACACTTGTTTGGAGTACCAGGGGCTGCTGCTCAGGGTCGGGAATGCAGACAAGTGGTAGGCAGGGCAGTAGAGAAAGCAGGAAACCTAGAAGCAGTAGCCAGGGTGAAAGCAGCATAGTCTGCACCCCATGAGGGTACCCCTCAAATGTGCTGTAGCACCAAAGTTCTGAAACAGATCTAAACGGAGCTCACTGAAAAGCAATGTGGCTCCAGAAATCCCCATTTACAAGGTGAAGGGAGATGTCATTCTGTAAATATGTTTCTCTTATTGGTTAATGAATAAAGCACTGTTGGCCAATAGGAAAGCAAGATAGGCAGGACAAGGTGATAAGGGGGAGAGAGGAAGTAGGAGGGAGGAGTCAGCATGTAGAGACTGGAGAGAGCAGAATGCCAGCCTCTCTCACAGGTAAGATGAGACCACGTGGAAATACTTAGATTAATAGAAATGGGTTAATAATTAAGACAGAGCTAGCCAATAAGAAATAGTAACAGGCTAGCCAATAAGAAACTAGTATCAGGCCAACAGTGATTTCTTTTATTCATTAACCAATATGAGAAACACGTTTACAGAATGACATCTCCCATCAACAAGGGATGAAAGTTGTGCCTGTGACACCAGCCTCGTAAGCCAAGGTGTATTTCCCTTTCAAACTGTGTAAAGAACTACGGTGCAGTGCAGCTGCTGGCTGTTAGTGTCTGTAAAATTATGAGTAAATGGGAGTCAACAAACCTGGAAGACATTCAATGCTCAGCTGTACTTAAACCTGATCCCACCAAGGATATGTAGACAGAACAGATAATTTTGTTTGCCACTTATAACCTTTCTGCCCTTTCGTCCCTGATGCTCCAGTTTCCACATAGGGTGAAGGGAACAAAACTATCACCTCCATCCCCTGAACATTTCAGTGGTAGACACCAAATGAGGCTGCTAAGTGTGGGACAGGAAGTCACCACAGGTGCTCCTGGCTTCTCGAGGGACGCAGGATGGAATGGGAAGGTGCACAGGGAGGACACATGCTCCTCCCTTCTTACGCTCTCTGAGGATCCGCTCAGCCTTCACCCATAAAGCTGCCTTGGTGGAGTGATACCTGAGTGCAAGCTGTTTTTCTAGACTATTTCCTTAGAACATAAGCCTCAAAGGGTCAGATCCACTCTGACGCATGCTCTTGTATGCGTACACTCAGGGGTGGGGGTGGCACGCTTCTTTTCATTGCTTGTGAAGGGTGGGGAAAAGTGCAGGGAGAGAAGTGAAGTTTTCAAGACAGGCAGGAACACAGGAGTAAGGGGATCCACAGCGGGGTCCTTACACCGGGAGGAAGGGGAAAGATGGGAGCAGAGGAGGCTTCCATAGAGGGGCTTACTCTAGAGCAACAGTTAACATGTGGGTTGCAACCCTTGGCAAGCCTCTACCTCCAAAAATTGAAGGCAGGGTTTAAATGAGTCCACCAGGCTCAAGGTTTACATTATGATTCGTAACAGTAGCAAAATTACAGATAAGAAGTAGCAATGGAAATAATTTTATGGTTGGGTCCCCACAATATGGTGAACCATGTTAAAGGGATGCAGCATTAGAAGGGTGAGAACCACTGCTCTAGAGAGCTTGTGGCAGGAAGCAGTACTTCATGTGTTGGCTTTTGTTCATTGGGGGTGACTTTCTGGGGCAAAGACAGCCTAGAGTTAAGCTGTAGGTGGGTGTGGAAGGAGCAAAGGAAGAAGATGGGATGGTCCCTGAGCAGTGAGAGGGAGCCTGGGATGTGCCCGAGGAGGACAGAGATGTGGGAGAAGGATCATGAGCATTAGTGAGGGCTCAAGAAAGTGCAGAGCAATCAGGACGTTAGAAGATCGGGCTGCAGAGAAGGGGAAGAAACATGGGTCTGATATATGTGATTGTTGCAGCAGAGTTCACAGAAGGGAAATCTGGTTATGATGGTGTACATAGCAAAGGATCGGACATGAGTTCCTGTCTGTGTGCCCGCTGGACTTAGCCATGGCTATCAGGTGAGCCCTGGAGTGGACTAGGGCAGAGAGGAGAAAGAAAAACACTTAAGTCTGAAGTCCCAGAATACAGCTGTTAATAAAACTGAGATCTAGCTAGGCCACAAATCGAGCACTGTATATGACTGAGGGTAGGATACAGAGGAACCATGATTCCGGCAGCTGAGGGAAGCAGAGCACAGATCACTATGAAATTACTAATCTCATATTAGCCTTGTTTGCTCAATGCTACTTCAGTAGCTAGGATATCTGCCAAGAACACTGATTCCCAGAATATTCTTTCAGAGTCAAGTCAACTCAGCAGGGTCCTGTGTGATCAATGCTGAGGTGACCTGTAGTCTGTGATTAGAGGAGGGAGGGAGCAACTAAAGGATGGGGTAGAGGTGGGAATTCCTCCACAACTATTCCCCAAGAAAACAAATTGCTGCCTGCCACACTGGGCCATGGGCCATCCACAGGACTGCCCAGTTGCAGCTACAGGAGTACTTACCATGCAGCGACTTCATTCCCAACGTGTAAGACGGCCTCCTCAGTGGAAGCGACTTGGGGAGAGATGGGTAGGTGCTGCTGAAGAGGACATCGTTGGGCAGGGCTTGGTCTAGAAGTGAGGCTCTGGAGGGGAAGAAGTGCTCCCTCTGGCCGCTGTAAATGCTCTCGTCAGACAGTGTCCTGTGCAAGGCCCGCCGGGAGGTGGGGGTGGGGGGGAGTGGAGACTGTGGGGAGGATAGTGCATGGAACTGCAAAACAGAAGACAGTGAAGTCAGGGCGGGTCAGAGAACAAGACCAAGGTGGGGTGGGTGAAGCCAAGAGGTGCTGCCTCCGGATGAACCCCACATCCAGTGTTGGCGCCCCATCCAATCCTACATCCCAGGGGAAGACAAGGTCTACCCATGTTCAGTATGGGGCTCAGACCCATGATTTATCAGTATTATACGGTATTGAGTAACAAGATAAATGATTTTTTGTTTGTTTGAGATGTATGTGTCAGGGGTCTTACTATGCAACCCTGGCAGGCCTGGAACTCAGGAGACCCGTCTGCCTGGTAAATGCATGCACCATGGCAGACACGCACTCTCATACAAACACATACATACAAACTCAACACACATATAAAAACTATACACACATAGCCATCACACACATACATACAAAAACAAGTCACTAAATATGCTTTAAAATCATGATGAGTTAAATCCAAGGTATGGCCTAGGATTATGCCACTGTGATTGGTCTGTGAGAGGTGACAGCTTACACTATTTTCTGGAGATGAGCGGACATTAATTAAATTTCTAACTAGTTTTGAAATCACAGCTTTCTGTTTTCAAGGTTCTAGAACCATCACACAAGGCTCCTGCCTGCCACACGCAGCTCTCAGATCCTAGCATTCAAGAAGTCCCACTGGATATTCCTCAGCACTTCAGGCTCTAGCAGAAGTCTTAATTTCCGGTGAGCATCTCTAGTCTGAGGGTTTTTCAGGGGAGAAACTAACCCAACTCCTGTCTTGCCTCTTTGAGACCAAGATCATTCCTCTGGACAGCACACTTTATTAGCTGCTATAGAAGCTGAACCACTGGGAAGCAGGGCAGGAGTGGGAAGAAGGGAGTTTTCTGCCCCTTGAGACACAGCGGTACCCAGTCTTGTTAAAAACCATCAGCACACCTCACCTCATCTTCTTCAACTCCCACCTGTGGGGGTGGGGCTGTGGACCAGTCCATCCAGTCCTGGGAAAGCAGCTCCCAGCTGGGTGTCCGACCCAGATCTCAGAGAACACACAGACAGGCGCCACAGTCTTGAAAGCTCCAGGGAGCCCAAAGAGTTTCTTACAGCACTCACTGCTAGGGAGAGGGTTAGGCGGGGACCATAGCCCACGCCAGCCATCTCTCCTATAACAGAAGTTCAGTTCTACAAACTGAGCTTTTGCGGATGATTTTACTTTACAAATAAGGCAAGGAGGCTTCTTGATGTAAAACGATTAAACCATTTGAAGACCACTGGTTGCCCCCCATTTGATCACAGCCCAGCAGAGATGGCATCTTATTCCATCTCTGTCCTGCCAGCACTGACTCAGACCTCCTTCACCTCATGCTGGCTGTCCCTGTTCTCATCATTCCCAATTGCCCTGACTGCCAGTGACACCAAGTCACCAGCACTCACAGGAAACTAGTTGATTTTCTTACATACTAGTGCTGTGTGTGTGTGTGGAGTCCCTTGCTCTGTGGAACTTGAGACCACACTGGCTGGGAAGCAGGACAGTATGTTGCCTGCAGCATTCTGCCAGTGAGGTGAGTGCTATAGCTCCATCAGCATTCTCAAGGCTGGAGTACAACAATGACTAACTCCACTCTACTGGCAGCTCATAGCCTAGGAGTCCATACTGGGCTCCAAGTATCTAGCCCAGAAATGGCTTTCCTAGGCCTCTTCCTCAAGTCCTGAGCCAGGACTGGCCTGGGAGGCTTCTCAAGGTTATGCTATCCCCCCTTCTACCACAGAGCCATGACATTCCGAAGTCTACCAGAAGACACACAGAGCTACTTGGCTGAACTCATCTGCAACAAACCCAGCTGAAGAAGGGTAGACTGGAGATGAAAAGTAGCACACTGCCATTGCTGCCCAGGCCCTGGTGCAGCGCTCAGAGACGGCAAGAGCTCTGTCTCGGCACAGGGTCTCATATCAGCAGAGCTACAGCACAGAGACAGCGCGCCCTGACTCTAATTACTAAAGTAATTCTTTTTGGAAATTAAAGTCAGGACCTGGAATAAGGGAAGACAGACATTTGCCTTCAACTATTCCCACTGCATGAGTAAGTAAATCTAAGGAATGGAAATTCTGAGATTATACCCAGCCCCCCCCCCCCCAAAAAAAAAAAAAGAAGGAAGGAAGGAAAAAAGAAAAAGAGAAAGAAAGAACAAACCATTCAAGTAGGACTTAGAGGAAAGATTACTTCTGGGGGTGGGGGACAGGTTTTACTATGTTCCTACCTCAAAGAGCACATCTGAAATAATTCTTACATTGAAACTGGGACTGCAGAGTTTTAATATGCCACCTTGGGTTTTGATGGCTAAGTTTCAAGTGCCATCTTTCTCAAGGTTGCTAAGGGAACCATTTGTTCCCTGGATGATGAGTCAGAACTGCTAAATGCTGGCTTCCGAAACAGAAATGACAGAAGTCAGGAATGACTGTATCCAAAAATCATGTTAATAAACCATTTATTTCTCAGCAACTTCAGACTTGCCCTTGAGATACATGTAATTCCTGTACATGCTGACTTTTCAGTTTAGGGGTATCTATGTGGGTGGTACGTACACACACATGCACAGAGAAGCCTAGGGGTAACAGGGACACAAGGCTGCTCTGCCTGGTACACCACTCACTGACTACAGTGCAGGCTGGTGTGTGGGAAGGATTTTCTAGCTTTCATTTCCAACACTTTCTCGATATTCTGAAACTGGCATTTCTAGTCACCCCGGACCTAGCATCAAGTTCAAGGAGAGAAACCCTCAGAGTTCACTGCCATGATCTTCCAGGAGTGGCTTCCATTCTCCTGGGGCTGCCCAGAATACTTCTGTAGAAACACCTCACACCAGGGAGAGAATCCTCCTCAGGCCTGCACTTCTGAGAACACAGACGTACAGAGCCTTTGGCAGCTTTCCAGTCTCCACAATGAGGTAGGCAGAAAAACCTGTTGAGATGCCTAGCAGAATGCTGGCCCCTGACGAACACACACACTCACACTCTCACTCACACTCACACACTCACACTCTCACTCTGAGTCTGGCCACGGCTACAAGGCAGCTCCCTTGACTGACATGGAGATCAGCAGACATGCTGGGGACATGTGTGAGAAGAGGGCCTCACAGACAGAAGGCAGAGTGGAGGCCACGTGGGAAACGTTCTGGCTAACAAGGGAACCACAGGTGTTTTTTCCAGCCCTGGAAGTGACGTCATTTAAGTGCAGACCGAGGAATCTCAGAATGGGATACACTACAAGACAGGGCCAGGGAAAGGGTGGCTTAACAGGAGCCCACACTAAAGAGATGTGGCTGTGGGGACAGAGTGCTCAACGCTGAAGAAGGGGGCTTCCCAGCACCCTCAGCCCAAGGTCCTATCGCGCCTGGCTTTTCTCTTCCACACTGCAGCCTGACCTCTACCTTGAAATTCTTCTGTGATTCCGGAGTTGGGCTCTCAAGGTCAATGAGTTTCTTTAGATCCTCCTCAATGGTGGACTTGGAGGTGGGCTTGGGGGAAGCCCGCAGGTCCCTGGTTGAGGCTCGGAGCCTAGTGTGTGCCATCTCATTACCATCACTCTGGTGCCGCCTGGGGAGAAGAGAGAGATGGTAGAAATGGAGTCAATAGGGCTGGCTCCAAGGCATGAGCTATAAAGGGTGACAGAGGGCATAACTCCTGATTACATTAAGCAGTGTCAATGTGAAACACAAAACAAAATCTTCAGAGTAAATCCTTCCTCTACATGAAACCACCTGCCCCCTTCAGCCAGTTCTAGCAGCAGAATTGACAGACCTGAGATGGGTCCCCAGTGCCACCTTTATACAGGGAGGCAAAATGACAGGACGATCACATGGGAAGGTCCTTTGACCTTGGGCATTCACTCACTTTCTCATATCCCTCCTGGCCCTACTGGCCCAGCTAAGAAGCAGTCTACACAGTGGCTGTGATTGACAGATGCTGGAGGCCAGATCACCCAGAATGTGTCCTTCACACAGCTCTTTCTAAGGACAGCTAAAGATCTCAGATTCATCCGAACTGTTTTACAGTACATCTTACATAAGCAATGAGGCAGAGGAATAATTTAGAGGACAAAAATTGGCTTAGCAAATAAAATCTCTTGGGGGGGAGGGGAGAAGTATGATCAGATGATATGGAAAATAATTTTTCTCATTAATAAAAGAAAGAAAATTCCCTCCACTAAGCCAATTCCTCCAACCCCAACACCCTAGGCCAGCATCATGGGTCAAAAGAAACCCCCTAGGCCAGCTCTTTCTGCGAGAGGAGAAAACCAACCACCACGTAGAAGGAGAACTCTTACTTTCTTGTATCCATAAATCCCACGGAGTTAATGGTTCCTTCTGGCTTTTTCCATCCGATCAGGTACTTGCTAGTGGCACCCTGGCGGGGGTAGAAAGTCCTAGGCCCAGAGGAGGACGAGGAAGAGGAGGAGAAGGAAGGAGCGAGCTGGGAGGTTGTGGTGGGGTGAAGCTCCTCTTTGGGTGAGCTTCGGGCACTGGAGAACACCACTGGGCTGGCAGAGTGTCGGGAGCTCATGGTACTGTGGAGAGGAAAACAGGAACAGTGACTCCACTGTATGCCCGGGGTCGCCATGTCAGCTGCGGATGTATGCCCGGGGCCGCCATGTCAGCTGCGGATGTATGCCCGGGGCCGCCATGTCAGCTGCGGAAGTGGTGCCCAAGGTGGGGGTGAAGGCGAGGTTTAAAAAAATGAAATCTGAATAAAAACAAATGATTAAAAGGGATGGCTACATGGCCTTCCTGTCCTCTCCCTGAAATTTAGAGGTCTGCTCTCAGTGACAAGTGGTCAGTGGGACTTGGTCTGCATTTAGCTTTAAGTAGAAGGATTTAAGCCGGGGGGGGGGGCACTCTCAAACAAACCGGACCCACTGCAGTCCAGGGACAGGACAAGAGGCAGAAGTCTCAATGTCTGTCTGTCTGTCTTGCCTTCCTCAGATCTGGGGATCACAGCTGTGCTAAGAGCAGGCTAACGACCACATAGAAACCAAGTCAAGGGCACAGCTCTCCTTGACACACCCAAGGCCAAGGGCACACTGAGGTCCATGTCCCCTAGCATCTGTAGTGAGATATTTAACTTGTAGGCACCTGTGGCATAGACCACGCCCATTGGGGGTGGAGACAGGGCCTGATGTGACCTGGGGGAACTAAGGCTAAGGAAGGGGCTCGGAGATCTCTCTTGATTGCAGCACGGGGGACAGGAGAACATCGGGAGGCATCCTTGGGACCAGGAACCTGCTGGTGTTCATCTGTCTATGTTGTGAGTTATTTCTCCCTAAATAAACATCTATTTGGCCTATTTGTTTCTCTAACAGCAATAAGCATCTAGTACTCAGAGAACTCAGAAGGGCTGCTCGTGACCAGGCAAGTTTTAAGAGTGGACAAGGCAGACTTCTCAAGGCTGGGATGAGAGCTTATCTTACCACCCCACAACAGGATGTCCATACTTCCCTTTTGAGGCCGCCCAGGGTCCACGCCCACACTATGAGTGAGTACTGCTTAGAGAAATCTTCAGGTGACTCCTACAACAGATATGCAGTTGCATTCCTCAGCGGCACTATTTGTCAAAAAGCAACTGTCCTGACTGAACAAATATTAAGGTACCAGTGGTAATGTGTGGCAATGACACAGGTACCACTCAGCAAGGGGGGTGATGACAATGGCAGACTGAGTATGGGGCATGAGAACCCTATCTTGGCAACTGTTCTGCAACTGTGAAACTACCAGAATATTTTAAAGTGTTACAGTAGGAAGAAAACCTAGATCCCACTGGCTGAGACAATATATAACAGTGAAAACGTATCATGACACTCTGGCCCCTAACCTCACACAAAACCAGTCACACCTGGATTGTATGTATATTAAAACAGACCCACGGATTCTGAACCATAACACGGAAGAAAATTTTTATAACAGAGGCAGAGTGGTTTTAAATGAGATCAAGGAAATATGAAAGCTCATTAAAGTTAAGAACTATACATGCAAGCCAGGTGGTGGCGCACGCCTTTAATCCCAGCACTTGGGAGGTAGAAGCAGGTGGATCTCTGAGTTCAAGGCCAGTCTGATCTACAGAGTGAGTTCCAGGATATCCAGGGCTACACAGAGAAACCCTGTCTTGAAAAACAAAACAAAACAAAACAAAACAAAAAAGAACTATTGTGTCCAAAGGAGTAGAAGAATATACCCAGCAATTAAGTCCCTATTCAACATATAAACCAAACTCCTAAAAATAAATAAGGCAACTGGGTGAACAAATAAAAAGGGCAAAGATTTGAACAGTAATTTCAAAAGAGCAATTAACCAGAAGACCCAGGAACACCAGCATTCAGCATTGCCAAGAACCAGGAAAACAGAAATTAAACCACAAGGATGTCACACATCCACCAGAACAGCTAAATTAAAATACCACATGCCAGAGAGGACATGATTCGGCTACCACTCTTACAGCCTGCTGGTAATGTCTTCCTGTTGCAACCGTTCGGTCAACTAGATGACAGCCTCTACTGAGGCTGAACATTTATCCTTCAGACATAACAATTGTTTTTCTACCTACCACAGTGAGAGAAAGCACACCTATGTGTAACTAAGGCATGTTCCAGAATCTGTAATATCCTCAGACCAGAGACAACCAAAACAGGAACCAGCAAAGGAAACAAACTGAGGTGGCCAGGGACACAGAGCTGAGGAAAAGGACACCACAGAAAGACACAGATGGTTCTTTTAGTTCAGAATCAAGGAAAATGAGTCTGACTGGGGAAGGAATATGGTGTAGGGGTGTGGGTGATGGTCTAGTTTGCTTTCTCTATGGTGCACAATGGGGATGTACACAGACTGCTGCTGCCTTCTGCCCTATGAATGTTAGTCGTCCCTGGAAATGGCTACAGAAAACAAAAGTCAATAATAGGGAGGCTGGGGTACCATCAGCACTCAAGGATCAGCAGCCAGAGCCGGACAGGTACTGGGGGAAGACTCCACCTGGAGAGAGTTCAATGTGAAATTGGTCTGACTACTTCAGAACACGAAGAACCAAATTCCCTATTTTTATGACACGCAAGAACGAGGCCCAAACTCAGAAACAGAATAAAAAATGACTAGTCTTGCTTTAATACATCAAACATTTTATTTCTCCATGAGTAGTTTTCCAGCTAGAGAAAACAGGTGAAGTACCCTACCACATCCCCAGGGACAACGTAAATTTAAAAGCAATTGTGACATTTACCTCTTGATAAACATCCCACCTGGTTGTTTTTAAAATTAAGAAGAGGGGCCAGAGAGAGAAGGCTCAGAGGCTAAGAGCCTGCACTGCTCTTGCAGAGGACCAGAGTTTGGTTCCCAGTGGCTTATCACAACCTGTAACTCCAGGAAAGCCAATGTCCTCTTCCTGCCTCTGAGGGCATCAGGACACACCCTTGCTAATATATACATATAATTAAAAAAGAAAATAATACATCTTGAAAGGAAGGGGGTGTAAAACTATTTACTTGTTAAGTACTCAATCAGTAAGGACAAAGCAAGAGCAGATCCCTGATACAGAAAGGAGATCAAAAGTGAGAATTAACTGAAGGAAGAAGAAAAGATATCAAAGGCTGTAGTGTGCGTAGAGGCACCAGAGGCAGAGCTCACATCAGGCTTCTGCAGTGCCAGACAGTCAAGGGGCTTCTGCAGCACAAGAGGCCAGCCCCAGACAAGCTTTAAACGGTATGGCAGGAGGGGCAGGGGTGGTGTGGTGATGGGCGTGCCTGTTAGTTATTTAGGGACAAGATTCTAGTCTTTGGTTTGCAGATTTAAAAATTTCTATTTTTCTTTAGGATCTCTTCACACACCGTTACAACTCAGTTATGGGGTCCCAGGTCTTAACCATGGCTGGCGTTTGGAGCAGAACTTACACATCTTGGATATGTAAGTAACCTTGGATAGTCACACAGGCCAACTCTCAAATAGCAGTATGTTAAAAATGCTGCTCCAGAGATGCTGGTGCAGTATGTGGGCCATGGTGAGTGACATGATCCCTCACAATTTAGAGGGGGGGAGTGTTCCAAGGCAGGGTTTCTCTGTGTAGATTTGGAGCCTGTCCTGGAACTCGCTATGTAGAGTAGTCTGGCCTCAAACTTAAGAGATCCTCCTGCCTCTGCCACCGGTGTGCTGGAATTAAAGGTGTGTGCTGCCACACCCTGCTCAGAACTAGTGTCCCCAGAGTTGCACCTGAGGTATGCTTGAATTGCCATTTTACTTTCAAATACTTTGATAGTCCATAGCTATTCAAAAGATTCTAGAACTTTAAAAGACTAAAGTTGAGTCAAAACAGAAATAATTTGCCAGGAGAAAAGAAAATAAACCACACAGTTCACTAATTTAAAAGTCATTCTGTTATGCTACACAGATCTATGCCAAGAGAAAGTTAAAGAGGAGGCTGGGAAATGTTCAAAGGAGACAGCAGTGTGTATGTTACGTGAGGTTTTCTTTTCTATGTGAATTTTACTGTTATTTTCCTAAGTGACATCCAGGGAGTGGCTGTTCTAGAACACAGACTCTGAGGGTGGACTTTACCTCTATGTGGCCACTACTCCCAGGAACCCAGCAGGCTCTTACCAAAATACTTTCTGTGTAGTTTCTCCTTTGTCTACTCAGTGCAGAGTACTGCATGATTGATTATGTCTGCACTCTGTTTTGCTGATTGGGTATAAACCCAGGAGGGCTGAGATGCCTTTTTTCTTGCTTGCTGCTGGATGCCCCATGCCTAGAATAGTCCCTGGCAACTCTAACCACTCAGCATCTGATGAAAAACAAGGCTAAATCAAAGGTAAGCTGGAAATCCATCTCAAATGTGAGATAATGCGTGCATACAGTGCTTTATTCAAACTATATTTAAAACTTGATTTTACTTTATTTTTACTGTACGATAATTAAGCCTGCAAAGGGTGTTTCTGCTTACAAATGTATCCTCACTAGTAGACTTAACTAAGACCATTGAACCTGATCATTTCATCCTTGACTATGATGGCTAATACTTGGTCCAGGGTGTGAAATGCCAGTGTACTTCTGTTTACTAATGGTTATAACCAGACAGCCCAATCTAAGAACTGATTACATCTGGGAACAAAGGCACAAACAGAAATGAATGAAAATTCACCGGCCTGTTTTCCTTCCTTAGTGTACACACCTCTGGCAGCAGAAGCCAGGCCTTCACCGGGGAAACCTTTAATACATGTACCTTGGAGCCCTGATCCCAGAGATCTAATGAGACAGAGCCGGATCAGTGTCTGTAGTCTCAGAAAAATCTCCCCAAGTGTGCACATGGTTTGAGAACCACTGCTTGAGTCAAGTCGAGTTGCTCATACTGGTCTAACTTGGTCAAATCCCCACTTTGTGTCTGCCCAGATCCAGGAGTTGAAGCCATGGGTAGGTACCATGTTTCTGAAGTAATGTTCTGGTTCCTGCAGGAGCCGGGATCAATGAAGAGTTGCAGGTTCACATTATATTTTCTTTAGTCATAAAAACCCATGTATTGAGACATTTCTAAGGG